ACTTTGGTAAAAATTATATTTTCCTCATTCATGAGATGGGCTTCTATAGAGCCATACAAACCTTTTACAAATAACCCCTAGACTTCTTATGTGTTTCCTATTTACAATTAGACCGCTCAAAATAAGGTACAAATCTCAACACTCCTCTCAAGACGGGCAAAAGATATCCACTAAGCCCATCTTGTCACATAATCTAGACAAATTTACTAGACTTAAGTCTTTTAGTGAGGAAGTTGACAACTTGCTCTTCAGTGGCTACATGACTTAGCTCCAGTAGCCTGTTTTTCAGCTTTTTCTTGATGAAGAATCTATCAATCTCCACATGTTCGAATCTATCGCGTTGGACCGTGTGGTTGGCAATGCTGATTGCCTACTTGTTCTCACCCCAAAACTTACCTTGATCCACCTTGAGCTCGACTAACAAGGCTCTCAGCCACATCATCTTGACAACTCCTAAGGTCACGACCTTGTACTTTGCGCCTTGCACTTTGCCTCTGCCGTTGACCCGCTACTAACGATTGTTTCTTGCTCTTCTAAGAGACCAATTGCCCCCTACCAACATGCAGTATCCTGAGGTAGATCTTCTGTCATTTGTATAACTCGCCCAGTAAGCATCACAATAACCCTCACTGTCTTGATGTCCATTCTTCCTGAAGATCAACCCCCTTCCCTAGTGCACTCTTCACGTATCTCAGAATCTGATATACCGTGTCCATATTACTCTTCCTTCGATCATGCATATAGCGGCTCACCACGCTCACTCCAAATGAGTTGTCGTGACGCGTATGACTTAGATAGATCAGGTGACCCACCAATCTCTGGTATCTTACACATTTAACTGGCTCTCCAGTCTCTGCACTCAGCTTGACATTCTAATAAAATTGAGAGACTGTAGGCTTGCATCCCCACATGCATGTTTATGTGAAGAGATCTAATATACTTTCTCTGAGATAAGAACATCCGTTCTGATTCACGAGCCAACTCAATCCCAAGGAAGTATCTGAGTTGTCTATAAGGTCCTTCACTTCAAATTCTTTGCCCAATCTAACCTTTAGTTGAGCAATCTCTGTTTCATCATCACCAATGATAATCTTGTCGTCAATATACACGACAAACATAGTGATGTGCCTCCATTTTGACGAAAGTGCACTGTATGGTCGACATTGATCTGCTGATATTCCATGCTCACCATAGCTTTTCTGAATTTGTCAAACCAGGATCGAGGAGACAACTTCAAGCCATAAAGCGACTTCCTGAGCCTGCACACCTTACGCACTTTTTGACCTGTACTGTATCCTGGTGGTATGTCTATATACAACTCCTCCAATAACTCACCAAAAAAAAAACATTATTCACATCAAGTTGGTATAACCTCCACTCCACATCAAGTTGGTATAACCTCTACTCACCATTCAAAACCAGAGAAACTAGTGTCCTCACTGTGCTCGTCTTCACTACAGGTGTAAAAGTCTCGTCGTTGTCAATGTCATATGTCTGACTATACCCTTTCACCATTAATTGTGCCTTGTAATGCTCCACTTTCCCATCTGTATTTTGTTTTACTGTGAAATCCACTTGCACCTAACTGTTCTTTTTTTCTCTGGCAATGATATTATCTCCCACATCCTGTTCTTATCGAGAACACCAAGTTCCTCTAATATGAAATTATTCCATTATTCTACTTTGAATTTTTCTTACTTACCTACAACATTTGAGTATAGAGAAGTGTCTAAAGATGCAATGAATGCTTCGTGTGCAGATGATATGTGAGAGTATGAGATAAACTGAACAATATCATGTGAGAAACCAAAACAATAAGGAGAATAACGATTCGAAGAACGACCCACATTACTGTGATAGGTCTTTCTTAAAGCCATAGGAGTGGGAGGAGAAGGGAGAGGAATCGTATCATCTGGGTAATCAGTTTTTGAAGTAGAAGATGTAGGTTTCTCAGGAGTTGGGGTGGACCGAGACAAGAGACTTGATGACACGAGTGACACGACAGACACTGTTCTCGAACTTGATGACGCGAGTGGTACGATAGACACTATTTCCTCATTCTGCTTCCTCCTCATTGTTTACACTCTCAACTCCCTTTGAGCATGAATCCCTCCACCTTCAGGTTCTTTTTCCTCATTTTTTTGACTCTTCCTTAGTTGATCCTTCCCACACAACGCGACAAGACATCGTTCCCACATTACCTCTGACCATCATTACTCTCCCCCTCACTCCTTATAGCTCCAATATCTGATGAGTCACTAAAAGGTGAGGTCAACCCCAAGGTATAATACTGTTCAAACTCTCTAAAGGACATATCAATGCTCACAAACAATCTATTTTCTATCGGACTCCAACAAGCATACCTCTTCTAGGTAGCAGAATAACCTACAAAAATATACTTCACAGCTCTGGGATCTAGTTTCCTTATTGATGGTCTGTTTTCTTTCACAAAACACACTCAATAAAAAACCTTCAATGGGAGGATCCCACTATTATCTCCTTTCAACTTTCGATAAGAAAACTTCAAATCCAACATTCTCGAGGGCATTTTGTTGATTAATTGAGCCAATGTCAAATCTGTTTGTCTCCACAAGTACTTTGGGACATTCATCCCGATCATCATGCTTTGAGTTATCTCTAAAATATGTCTATTCTTTTTCTCTGCTACTCCGTTTTATGTCGATGTGTATGAATATATGGTTTGATATTGTATCCCTTGGGCTGACATGTATTCTCTAAGCGCCTTGTTGGTATACTCTGTCCTATTATCAGACCTCAATACTTTCACTACTACACCGTACTGAGCCTGAATCGCCTTGAAAAAAAAATTTAAAAAGGCAGACACTTCACTTTTGTTGTTCATCAGATATAATCAATAACGCGAGAAAAACAATCAATGAAAGACACATAATATCTGTAACTATCCATAGAAGTTGTAGAACGAGTTCCCCATACATCTGAGTTCATAAAATCAAAAACATAAGAACTCTTTTTACCATAACTAACATAAGAGCTCCTGATATGTTTACCAATGTCACAAGCATCGCGCACAAGTTTTTGTTTATTTGCATTTTATTATAATGATGGATACAAACGACTCAATAGACTAAACGAAGAGTGACGCATGCGTCTGTGATTTAACAACAAAACATCCTTAACACTCCTCTCAGATCCTCCTACCCTAGCAGTCTCAACTTTGGATGCTAAGGCTGAGTCCATCCCCTCTTTATCCAAGTATCAAAGTTCACTATGCCACGTGTCTATCTCAAGTTTCCGACCAGTCCCCTTCTCTTGAAAGATCACATTTGGAATATCAAATGAAGCAACACATTTTAGTTAGAGTATAATGACACTAATGAAAAAGAAAAGGAGTATGTAAAATATTAGACAAAGTCACAGAATTGGTAAACCTTACTGTACCTTTATCAATCACAGACTGTGTTGTATCATCAGAGGTTTGAACGCTCACTGAAACTGTTAGGTGAGTATAAGAAGAGAACTTACTAGCGACAACTATTACATGACGAGATGCACCAGAATCTATTATCTATTCTAGCAATCTTGTGGTGGATATAAAGACAAGAGCACGAGTATCACAAGTACCTTTGGTTGAGCAAATACATATGTGAGAAAATTTAAACAAGACGGATTGGATTATTTCTTATAGTAATTTAGGAAATACTAAAGTTTAAAACTAATATAATTTTCATAAGGTGACCTTTTAATCAATGCTTAATTTTTTCTTTCAATAAGTATTTGAGTTTAATAACACAAATTCTGCTATTGGCGAGCCAGCTAGCTTAGAATCAGCTATAAATAAAACTAGTGTAATTTTGAAGCCTTCCCTTTCATGCCTTAACTATCACACTTTCACTCAATGGAAGTGCATCTAACATGGAGTCAAGTTTAGATCACCACCAGGGAGATTGTTTAAAATAATACACTTAAGCTAAGCAAGTAGAAATGGTCTATCTTCCTTAACCAAGCCTTTAATAGACTGCATAAATCACTTACTTTAGCTCTCCATAGAAAAGATGCTTTGACATTCTAGTGCTCTAATCTCAAATCAGAACTTGCTGAAAGAGTTAAGGAAAACCAGAAACAAATTTGTATCTAAGAAAAGGAAAGGAGCATTTACATAGATACCACCAAATTCTGTGCATTTACATGTCTAACACCTAAACTTTGGTTTTTATATTTATACGACCCAAATCTTTCATATCTCTTCAAAATAACCTTTTTTTTATTGTTAAAAGCGAAATACACCCTTTCATGCATAGGTAAGGTGGCATGCTTGTACAAATTGAACTTTAGGTGTTAGATATTTAAATATATCAAAATTGAGTGGTATGTATGTTAATCTTCCTGAAATAAAATACCTCGTGGAATATTGCTTATTCAACTTTTGAGTATTGAGTAGGCTTTTGCTTTAATCTTGCCTTTTATCTTGCTTCTTTTGAAAGTTGATTCATAGCAAAGTATTTTCACACTTATTTCCTAACTATTCACATGACACTTGATCTGTTTTTTCTTAAAGTAACTTTATTTCCATGTAAAAAGAATGACTTGGATTCCAAAACTTTATTTTTTTTGCATGGATAAGATTCATCAATGATGTATTCCATGCAGGAAGGACTACGCAGATTATGCAGAATTTTGTTTTAAAACTTTTGGAGACCGGGTGAAGAACTGGTTTACATTTAATGAACCGAGGGTTGTTGCAGCGCTCGGATATGATAATGGCATTTTTGCTCCTGGAAGGTGCACAGGCTGCACTGCTGGTGGCAACTCTACTACAGAACCTTACATCGTTGCCCACAACCTCATCTTATCTCATGCTACTGCAGTGAAAAGATATCGTGATAACTATCAGGTAGATCATCATCTATTCTGTTCTTATAATAATGTAAAATAGTTTATATATGATTTCTATCTATTAGACATTAATATCCATCTTTCCCGATTAGAGAATGCCCAATATTCTTACTGATGCTTTGTAAGTTGGATGAATAATCTTTCATAACTCATGATCTCTCTATTTCATTAAATCTGTCAGGCTAGTCAGAAAGGTAGGATAGGTATTCTGCTAGATTTTGTTTGGTATGAACCTCTTACAAATTCAACAGCAGATGAGGCCGCAGCTCAAAGGGCGAGGGACTTTCACATTGGATGGTAAGTGCTGAAAACTTGCGAAGTGTTAAAATGGCCTACTAACTCTTTGTATGTTGCCATTTTGGTTCGTGAGTCTATAAAAGCGATAATATAGTCCCCTAACTCTTTTAATGGTGGCTAACATAGTTCTCTTTGGGAACTATTTTAGTCTATATTAAAAGAGACTGAGTATTAATTTGATCCTTTTATGGACTCTCGGTCCCAAATTGCCGAATATAATAGTCTGGGGCTATTTTAAAACTTACTCTTTCGAAAAGTAACATAAATTAGCTTGCAGTTCTTATAAAACTTAGAAATGGTAACCTGAAATAAAT